AGGTCTGGCCCTCCCCAGCAGCGGCGAGGCTGGCCTGCCAAGCCTTCTGCCCCCCGTCCCGCCTACTCCCTGCGCATGCGCTGGGAACGCTCCTTTACTCTGGGGAGGATTTAAGTATCCCCCCTATAGTTTTTTTTACAGTTTTTAGATTTTTCTGCACATCTGGGGATTGCCCCAAATGTGCAGGAAAATATCCCTGCCCCCCAGGTGCCACTGATATGTAGATTTAGATAAGCACACACGGGGGGGGGGGGGCGCCTTGGCTAATTATATAGATATATATATAGGTGGTGAGCTACCTCTATGAGTAGTTTGCATGTGTACCCTAATCCCAAACACATTTTAATACTGAGCGGTCACTGGTTCGTCTGCCCAGCAGCAGCTGGTCAACTGTTGGCACTCCCAACCTTTTCCTCCGCCACCACTCTTTCAGCTTGGAGGTACAATGGAGGGGGGGGGACTCCCCTCACCCCCAAATCCAGACGAATGCACTGAAGCCAATCAGATTCTTTCAGCCACTAGAAACAGAAAAGTCTCCACTGTGCCTTCTCTCACCTGCCTTGACGGGAAAGTTCAGGGGAAAAGCCATACAAGGAGAGCATGGAGTTGGCCCTTCAACATTCAGGCATGCAAATGCTAGTTGGCTGCACTGGAGGACACTCTGAATTCCGCACTTTCCCTCCCTCGAAGTACGGTTAGCAGCCAACTTCTTGTGATCCATCTCCACCCTGCCCCTCCCCATTCCAATCAGCAGAAATCCAGAGAAAAGCCTTCAACCCAGTACAAGTCTCAGACCCTGCGGTTGCTCACCAATTTGTTTTTGCTTTCCTGAAAGGATCTCAAAGTAGCTCTCCCATGATACGGCTCTTAAGACAGCTGGCATGGCACAGTGGTTAAGAGGAGTGGACTCTAATCTGGAGAAGAGGATTCGATTCCCCATTCCTCCACACGAAGCCAGCTGGGTGACCTTGGGCCAGTCACGGTACTCTCAGAACTCTCTCAGCCAGTGTTCCCTCTAAGCTGAGTTAGTGTGAGCTAGCTCACAGTTTTTTAGTCTCCGGCTCACACATTTTTGTCTGAGCTCAGGAAGGAGGGCTCCAGAGCAAACCAATTTATGTAGAAGCCAAATGGCTCGCTCACAACTTTAATGCCAGGAGCTCACAAAGTGGAATTTTTGCTCACAAGACTCCACAGCTTAGAGGGAACACTGCTCTCAGCCCCACCTGCCTCACAAGGGGCGTGTTGAGGGGAGAGGAAGGGAAGGTGATTGTAAGCTGCTTTGAGACTCCTTTAAGGTAGAGAAAAGCGGGGTCTAAAAACCAATTCTCCTAAGCCACCTATGTTTTGCTCCCAGCTTAGAAAAAAAAAAATGAAAACCATGACTACCAGAAACAGTAAAACTAGAAAACCCAGCTGAGTTTTATTGTATGCAAAATCAGGTAGGGCAGCAGCGTAGCCAACAAAATGCCACCCCCCACCCCAAGAAACCAGGCCTGCTGTGGGCTTGCTGATGCCCCTAAGCCACCAGGGGGCTTACAGCAGCTCAAGTTATAAAAAGACCCCGAACAAAACACAGTACGGGAGGCAACGAGTGGCGAAGACGGGCACCTTCTTCTCCAGTCCCAGGCCTGAGTTAATATGACTCAGGTAAAATCAGCAAGTCAGTGGGGGTAGCAGTAATATACTGAAATAAGTTAGTGAAACTTCCACAGGAGAATTATTTACAGTGCGTTTGGAAGAAAAAAACCCACAGTCTGACAGACAATTGCAAAGAAGGAAAGAGAAACCGGAGGACAACTCTGGAAGGACCGAAAAGAGCCCAACACGACGATTTGCCTGCGAGGGGGGACTGCAGTACCAGGGTCATCCCCTGCCGTGCAAAAGAACCAGGATACATCAGGGGTCTCACCAAGGGCAGCCTTCTCTTTTCAAAGCATGATTTAGGACAACCCCCCCCAACAAAAAAAAGGCTTAAGGCTCTAATCACACAGCTGTCCCTTAACACTGAAGAGTTTGCCAAACAGTGGCGGAGAAGCTGTGGGAGGAGCTCATAACGCCTGTACATTCAGCCACTCGTTGGTCAGAGGAGTGGTTGCCTTCCAGGTTGCAGCATCGGGTACCCATTGAAGCACAACAGGAAACTTTCCAGGATGGGGACCCCTTGGCTGCGGGGCTATTAGTGTCTGACGCAGGCCGCAAGGGAGGTCCCACGGGAGTTTGGCACCACAGGTGGTTTTGGCTTGATCTGGGCAACAGAAATCTTCACGGCAGTACCGAACGCTGTCTGTGCTAGACTGCACTTGAGTTCCCAAAACAAGGATACTAGAAACTAGGATGCAAAGGTATCAAAATGGTTATTTACAGCAATGCCTTTTCGAACAAATGTAAGAAATGTGCTTTGGCCGCCTTTACAAACAGGTTAAGAGCATTTGGTGTTTAAGTCACAGATCCTTCCCACACCCCAGGAGGAAAGCCGCCAAACAACTACGAATACCCGAGCCTTGCGTGGGGTTGCCAAGCTCCAGGTGGCATCTGGAGATCTCCTGCGATGACAAATTTATCTTCAGATGACCAAGATCGGTTCCCCCAGGAGAAAAGGGCTGCTCTGGAGGGTGGGAAGTGTAACCCAGCTGAGGCCTGATCCCTCCTCAAACTCTCTCCAGGTATTTCTCCACCCAGTGCTTGGCAACCCGGGCCTTGCCCCTCCCCATTTGCAATGCGCTGACGGCTTTTGTCACTCCCGGAAGATGGGAGTCCAGGCAGAATTCATTAGCAGAACACCCCCAGGGACTTTGCCACCCCTTTCACTCAGGCCTTTGGCAAAAAGCAGCACTCAAGGTTGATTCTATCCTCAAGGCTGAACCTCAAGCGAAGATGCCCTCTACACCTTGGGTTGGCTTCGCTTTCCTGGGGAGTGTCTGGATTGGATGCCCACTACAGTTCAGGGGTGGGCCTGGAGAACTGTGCCACCAAAAAAACCCTCCTCGGAGACAGTGTGACAACGCCCATAGCACTTTTGTGCACGTGCAGCTACAGAAATGGTGTAGGCACTGCCACATTCGCAGAGGGGTTTTTTGGCAGCCAGTCACTGGCGTCCACCAAAAGGATCTGCCTGTGGTCCACTGGTGAACTGTGATCGATGTCCTTCCCGGCCCCCGTTCCAGATTCTCCTTCATCCCAGCCCGACAGCGCAGTTAGGACATCATGGACTGCTGCACGGCCTTCTGTAGTGAGTGTCTGGTCACCAGGAGCCGGACCACTTCCTCGTTCCGCTTGGTCAGCCTCTTCCGGGCCTGGTCGTGGGTCACCATCGTCATGTCCCACCCGTTCACCTGCAGGAGGAATCGCAATTAACAAGGACAGCTGAGCCTGCTTTGATTGCTTAGGGCTGTAAGCTTCACAGTGGAAAGAACACCACAGGTGAGAGGAGATTCAAATGAAGATACTAAAAGCATGCTAGTCTGTTCTGGGCTCTGTGGAACAGACTGTGTGCTCTACAACACCCAAGTGAGTGAAGCAATATGGATCTCAAAAACTCACACCCCACCTTGGAGCAGTGCTTCATTTAAAAAAAGGGAGATTCACAATGTTGGAATTTTAAGTAAGCTACACCCATCCCTCCATGTTGCTAGAAGCGAGCTGACCGGCTTTGCCACTGAGACAAGGGCAGGGAGGGAAACTCTTTGGCCACCCAAAAAGGCGATGGTGGGGATTATGGGACCGACATGGACAAAAGCCAAGTGGGATGAGGGATGCAGGAGGGAGGGGAGCTGGACAAGCGAGAGCCAAAAAAGCTGGCTGGGCCCAACGGCAGACGCCCGCGTGTGCAGGATCATGGCCACAGGATAGAACGTTCCCAACTCTATGCTTCACTGACTCAGAACGCAGTGTGGTGGAGTGGTCAGAATGTCAGATTAGGATCTGGGAAACCCAGGTTCAAACCTTCCCTCTGCCACGGAAGCTTTACTGGGTGACCTCGGGCCGGTCACACACTCTTAGTCTAATCTACTGCACAGGGTTGCTGTGAGGAGAAGCAGCGAAGAAGAAGAGATTGGATTTCTACCCTGCCCTTCACTCGGAGTCTCAGAGCGGTTTACAAACTCCTTTCCCTTCCCCTCCCCACAACAGACACCCTGTGAGGGAGGTGGGGCTGAGAGAGCTCTGACAGAAACTGCTCTTTCAAGGACAGCTCTGACAGAACTATGGCTTGCCCAAGGTCACCCAGCAGCTGCGCGTGGAGGAGTGGGGAATCAAACCCGGTTCTCCCAGATTAGAGTCCGCACACTTAACCACTACACCAAACTGGATAAAACAGAAGAGGGGAGAACAATGTGAGCTACCTTCAGTCCCCACTGGGGAGAAAGCTGGAGTCTAAATGAAGTCAGTAAATAAACAAACCCAAGAACTAAGTTCACAAGCCTTAGGAGGAAACCACTAGCCCCTTGACACACTAGTAAATCCCACTGATTTTGTTGCAACTTGCTTCTCAGACACAGGACCAGGCTCTGCTCATTTCAGGGAAATTGGGGGGGGGGGTGTTGTTTTGGTTTGTTTTTTTCAGAAAAATTTAATGAAAGGACAGGCTGTTGATTTGCTTTCATGGTTCACATGCTAAACAGCCATCTCTGTGATTCACAAAGAAGTGCCACACGGCCAGGCTACAAAACGTCATTGGGTTATGGCCCCTACAAACCTGCTTGGCTGTTCAACTGGAACAAACACAAGGCATGCGGGGGGGGCCCGGGGGGGGTCGGAAAGGGTAAAAAAAGGTGTTGAGGTGTTACCTGCATTATTTTGTCTCCCACCTGAAGGCCGGCAATTTCTGCTGGGCCACCTTCCGTCACTCTTGTGACATAAATGCCCTGCGGGGAGAGAGGGGGGAAAATACTAATACTGGCCACAAAACAAAAGATAAGATGCATTTTCACATACCGCCCCCCCACCCCGCCCACAACTGTTGACACCCTGGGGTGAAGCAGCAATTCATTCCTGCCAGCGGCTCGCCAGTCTAGCTGTTCAAGCCATTCATGGGCATGCAGAAGGCTGCAAATCAGCTGGTAATTTTCTTTCGCTGCCTGGGGCATGTGATCTGTACAATGCTTGGTTAAGTGTCCTTTCAACTGCACTCTGTGACAGGTCTGGGTAGCCCCAAAGACCCAGCCAAGCCCCACACTGGGGCAGTCAGTTCTTAGATAGGGTTATCATCAAAAATGGAAATGGACTTGTAGGTTCGCTCTCCCCAAGAAGGCCTGCAGCAGATACTCATTCTCACAGGAGTTACTAGGCCAGCGCCGAGCCATGGCCTCTGTTACGCCCAAATGAGCGAGCAGTTTGACCTGATGCTCCCAAGCAGCTGTGCGAGCTCTCCACAAAACTGACCAGTACTTCAGTACATGTTAAATGCATTTGTGGCCTGAAAGATGGGTTTGTTTTTTTGCAGTTTTCCTGCCGAGTCACCCAGGGGCACGGCTCACTTGCAAGAGGCGACCTCACACTCCCAAGAAAGCCAGAGAAGGACAAGCATCGGCCCATATACCAAGACATCCAGATGAAGCAGAGACATCTCCTCCTAGGGCTGTGGTGCAAAAGTGGTGGCTAGGGATCACAGAATCAGAGACTCATAGAGTTGGAAGGGACCTCCAGGGTCATCTAGTCCAACCCCCTGCACAATGCAGGACATTCACAAATCCCTCCCCCCTCAGTGACCCCTGCTCCACGCCCAGAAGATGACAAAAACCCTCCAGGATTGCTTCCTGACCCCAAAGTGGCAATCAGCATTTCCCTGGGAACAGACTGCCCACCTGCTCTGTGCCCCCCGTGATGCCCTTCCTTCAGAACACTTAAGGACAAATAGTTTGAGTTACTTAAGTAACTTTTTTGGCTTTATAGATAGGAAGAGTTGTTAGTAGTAAAGTTGGTATGACAGTTAATGAATTACTTTGTGGGAACATTTAAAGAATAACTTGAGATAGGTAATATGTGATGTTACTTGGTTAGAATTACAGTGGTTAGGTAGAATGATAGAAATTTATAATTAACCAATCTGTATGATCACTATGATGTGTTGAGAAGTCTGTTTATGGTTATGTATACGATTTCCTTTTTCTTTTGTTTTGGAAATTAATAGATTATAAAAAAAGAGAACAAGGCTGGTTTTGACAGAGGGCAGAGACCCAGCCAGCGCCCAGGAAGAAGCTATTACGGCGGGAGTCAAACAAGGCACCGCCCGCTGAAGTACCCTGGGGGGGGGGGGGGCTGGGGGCTCAGTCCTGACCTTGTCAGTTTTGTCCTCCGAGAAGGGGTTCTGGGTGGGGTCCTGGTCGATGCCACCTCCAATGCTGAAGCCCAGAATTAGGTTCTCCCCTTGGCGGAGCTTGTGGATTTCGACTCTTTGCTTGAAGGAGGAGAAAAAGAGAACCGGAGGTGAGCCTTCTTGCTTTTAGCCGGACTACAGCTTATGGTTCGTAATGTGCTCACTTTCGCCCTGGACTCTGAACTCCCGATATCAGAACAAACCACTTCAAGAGCCCTGCACTCCAATATATTCAGGTTTATTTGCAATCTGCGTCTCAAGTACGATTGTCCCACGCTTGATTAAGAGAGAAAGCTGAACAAGGAGAATACCAACAACAAGGCATGTAACTGCGTCAGAGTGGAAAGACGTTTGCTGTTGAACTGCTGGACACAGCTAGATCCTGCATGAAAACAATCAAGACTGAGCAGAACCATTACCTTCCAGTTCCCTTCCAAATACCACTGCCAAGTTGGCTAACTTGACCAGAAGAAGAAGAGATTGGATTTATACCCCGCCCTTCACTTGGAGTCTCAGAGCGGCTTACAAGCCCCTTTCCCTCCCCCTCCCCACAACAGACACCCTGTGACGTAGGTGGGGCTGAGAAAGCTCTTTCGAGGACTGCCCTTTCAAGGACAGATCGTCAGAACTATGGCTTGCCCAAGGTCATCCAGCAGCTGCAAGTGGAGGAGTGGGGAATCAAACCCGGTTCTCCCAGATTTGAGTCCGCGCACTTAACCACTATACCAAGCTGGCTCTCCCACTCAGCCACTGACTCCCCAAAAATCTTTCCCAAATAGGTGGAGGAAGAACTGTGGCCTCCAGCAACGACTGGCTGTGCTGCAGTATCAAAGAAAGCTTTGCAGAAGGGTCTTTGGCTGTCATCAGCTTAGCTGCTTAAACCCTACAGGCAGGCAAAAAGATTGCTTTCATAGCGCTTTGAGACAATCGGTCATCCATCCGTCTCTTGCTCAGACATAGGGGCTCCTTCTTCCCAGAGCGTGCCTGGCTTCCATTCTCGATATGCAAGACCGTCATCATCCCACCCCACCCCCAAAGAGGCCCGGCATGAAGTTTTAGTGAGGGGACGGCCGGATTCAGCTAGTGTAAACAAGCAGCCCTTTATACTTTTTTTTTAAATTGGGGACTGGAATTTGTTACGAGCTCACTGGAAAGCGCTGCCACTTCCCGAGAAAGGCATGAGCAGGGACAAGAAGTGTGTGTGGGGGAAGCCAAACAAAGCCAGCCAGGGGACAGCAGCAGCTGATAAATTCTTTGGCTGCCTCACATGCCGAAAGGTCGGAGGAAACAGGGGGAATCCTCCTGGCATTCTTACGGGACACACATTAAGACCACCGGAACTAAACACAGATGACTTCTGGGACCCGGAGGCTTCTACCAGCAGGAACGTTGATTCGAGGATAAATGCTTCTAGTTTTCTCTCCAGAACCTCCTCTCTGCAGTGCGGGAATCATTGATTCCTTGGAGGATGGAAGAAAGAAACTCCAAAGTATTGGTGCGGAGGAAGAGCAGCTGGGAACATGCAAGGACTTTTCCCGACCCTGACTGCAATATCTGGAAAGGAACAGAACTGGACACATCTGACCTCCTTCGGAACAAAATGGCATCTCTTCTCTTCCACTTTAACCCTTGCATGGCACTTCTGAGGGCTAGGTTTTAGCCTCCGCTGCTCCACACTATCAGCCTCCAACTCTTCCTTGCTTCAATCTTCGCCTCCAACTCTGAGTTGAAGTCCTTATTCCTATCTTCAGCATTCTCGTATAGCCACACGGTAGAAGGCCAAAGATGATCAATAGTACCAAGGTGGTTCCCAGGAAGAAAACCCCATGGAACATTAACCCTGGTGGTGGAAGGTGCCATCACGTCTCAGCTGACCGAGGGCAACTCTGCCGGGGTTTCAAGGCAAGAGACTTTCAGAGGTGGTTTGCCACTGCCTGCCTCTGCGTGGTGATCCAGGACTTCCTGGGTGGACTCCCATCCAAACACTAACCACAGCCAGCCCGAGATCAGACGCGACCGGCCTAGCCTGGGCTATCCAGGTCAGGGACCAACATTAACACACAACAGTCATCTCCAGACTGGACAACTGGAACTCGCTCTACGTGGGCCTACCCTTGAGGCTGACCCGGGAACTTCCAACTGGTACAGAATGTGGCTGCACGGGTCCTCACGGGGACTCCGCATGCAGCACACATCCACCCTGTGCCGCGCAAGCGGCACTGGCTTCCAGTGGAGTATACCCCCAGGAGAGCACTGCGCTCAGTAGATCAAAATCTGCTGGTGGTCCCCGGCCTGAGAGATATCCAGCTGTCCTCAACCAGAGCCGGGGCATTTTCCGCCCTGGCTCCAACCTGGGGGAACTCTCTGCTGAATACCACAACCGTGCCCTGTGGGACCTGTTACAGTTCCACGGGGCCTGTAAGGTAGAGATGTTCTGCCAGGCATTTGGGTGAAGACAGCGACGGCTCCGTCTTTCTGGCACTCCCACCCCTTGCCGCCCGGTGAGGCCAGTGGCAACATTAGGAAAAAAGTGTAATGCCATCTTCTGCTTACGGCTGTGTTTTATGGGTTTTAATTTGCTTTTAATTATATTTATATGATATTGTGTTGTACACTGCCCTCAGTCCGGTTTTTCGGGGTGGGTGGGTGATTAAAAATAAAATAAAATCAACTTAAATAAAAAATTAAATAAAAACACGACTGCCAATTTCCCGCAATAAAATTTCAAGTGTTTCCTTCCTCTTGATCACAACGCCATCCTTCTCACTCACTCTGCGAAACGGCTTAACTTGAGCTGGCTCTTCTGGAAACCCACAGAGGAACTATTTGTTGATTAGGGGGCTTGTCTGACCACACTCTCGCCACTGTGCTCCACTATTCAGCCGCCACCTATTTGTTTGAAAGCCCTAAAATCTGGAACTGCCTCATGTGTTGCAAGGAGCCAGTGAGGCCGCTGACTGGCCATCTATCACAAGTCATTATCTACTCCTTAGCATTCCTGGGGGGGACCTCATCAAAGACCAGACCCCAGACTAAGGAAGGGCATCCCTTGCCTGAGCAACACATTGCGGCATGATGCGTTGCTTGTAGAAGGCAAAGAAAGTTACAGGCAGGGCTGCCACCCTAGACAGAAGAAAGCATGTATGCGCCCACACACATACACGACTTACACTTACTCATTCCCATGACTGCACAAAGGGGCAAAAACAAAACCACCCCTTCAGGCTATTTGCTGACACAGCCCTGACTCACCAGACACTCCCCAAAGGAAAATATCTGCTGGATTCAAAAAGATCCAACTAGGGAGGGGGAAAAGGCCTCTTTATTGGGGGGTGAGGAAGACAGGTCAGAAAAGGGGACGAGAACAAAGTACAAAAAGGCTGGAACAAGGACACACATTCAGGGTACAGATACTAACACAGTCAGCAGGATGGCAGGGAGGAAGCGGTTGTTCTATGGCATCCAAAGGGGCCATAGCAGGAAATGATACCCCACCCCAGCCCTCTGTCTGAAGCCCTGGCCAGAAGCTCCAAAGTTTGCAGAAATCCCAAGAAAACGATATGTAAGATCCAGGTTTGCTTACGAGGAGATTTTAATAAAGCATCCAACTTACAGAAATAGCAGGCTTCAATCCGCTGGGCCTTGAACATACACAGCAAAGCCAGCCAGAACTCGAGAAGAGATACATAGCTGAAACTAAACCTCTTACACCCTAATTGCTGGCTACGAGTCAAGCCATCAAAGCTAAACACTGGGGGGGGGGACATATCTTGCACTTGATTTCTCAGCAGCAGAGGAAAACAAGTCAAGTGTCTAGATAAGAACTCAGGAGAATGTGAATAAGAAAACATTATCTTGGGAGAGGCCTGTTGGCCATCCTCCCAAGAGACTCAGAATACTTAGCAAAGGTCAAAATGGAGTGACAAAGGTCATAAATTCCCTCACTAAAGAAGCAGCAGCAAATGAGCATGCTCATGAAGAAGAAGAGATTGGATTTATACCTTGCCCTTCACTACCCAAAGGAGTCTCAGAGCGGCTTACAAACTCCTTTCCCTTCCCCTCCCCACAACAGACACCCTGTGAGGTAGGTGGGGCTGAGAGAGCTCTTGACAGAAACTGCTCTTTTTCAAGAACAGCTCTTATCAGAACTACGGCTTGCCCAAGGTCATCCAGCCAGGTGCAAAAGAAGGAGTGGGGAATCAAGCCCAGTTCTCCCAGATTAGAGTCCGCACACTTAACCACTACACCAGACTGGCTCTCGTGCTTCATTTCAGAAATCTGAGCAAAAATGCTTCCTAGAAGAAAGCAACAGCCTGGTGCCTCCTGAGAAAACTAACATACACTTTCATGAGCTTCAGCCCTCTCTTGAGATGAATAGAGCGCTCTTCTCAGTGCGAAGGTACACACACAATGAAATGCAAGAAGTCCAGAATGTGATATTTCTAGGCAAAGCTTAAATACAGTTAAGCTTCACACGGAAATATTAGAGGCTGAACTGGATTTAATGGCCCTTTGGCCTCAATATGTTGTGCTCAGATGTCATCAGGGGCACAAAGAACGCTTCTGCAACAATAAGGTATCCTATATACTGTTATGTTTGAGGGGGGAAAACTATATACTGGCCCCGGTCACACGGAGCATTTGCCACGCTGAAGGCACGATTCTCCTGTGGAGTTTTCTGGCGGGATCACACCAGAATATCTGGGAGGCATAGCACTCCCGTGGTGAACCCGTGGCATCCCGCCGAAGATGCGCAATAAAAATGTACCTGGGACGACCTACTAGCAAATGGTTTGCTACGGGCTTCATGCGGATTCCCCCGGTGTGATAGCGCCGGTGCGCAGCTTTCTCCCGTCATCCTGTTTGCCGTGGGTGCCAAAGGAGGAAGCCGCTGTTGCGTCTGAACGCATAATGGCGGATCAAACTACGATGGCGCAAATAGGCACATCTCCCCCCCCACGTTATCCGGCCTGTGTGACCAGGGCCACTCTTAAGTTACAGCACAAAGGGCTTACTGCTATACATGCATACCCAGCACTACACACTAAGTCTGTGTTGGTGAAAGCAGAGCATTGTGTCGACTAGAAGAACACGCCCAACCCCTGACATCTTAAAAGGTTCAGTACAGGACAATGCTGCACCCACACACCCCAAAGGACGGAAAGAAGGCGACAAAAATATATCCTAAAGAAAAACACACACACAACTGCTGTTCCCACACACAAGAGAAAAGCCCAAGTCATCAGAAAGCTAAAGGAGACAAAGAATGGTGGCAGGAGGGGAGCAGAGAAGCAGAAGGCAGGTACAGCCTAGGGGTGAGGATGCGAGACGACGACCTGGGAGCCCCCCCAATTCAAATCCTGGCTCTAATGTCCTACTGCAAGCCACTCTCAGCCTCTGAAGTGTGCATGCCAGGGATGCCAGCCTCCAGGCGGGACCTGGGGATCCCCCAGAGTTACAGCTCCCCTCCAGAAAAAAAGAGATCAGTTCCCCTGGAGAAAATGGATGCTTTGGAGGGTGGACTCTGTGGCACTGTACCCCACTGAGGTCCCTGCCCTCCCCAGGCTCCACCCCCAAATCTCCAGGGATTTCCCAACCTGGATCTGGCAACTCGACTCCCCCATCCCCCGCCAGTCCCCAGGGGGGACCTGGCAACCCTAGTGCATGCCCACGAAAGCTGACACCCAGAACTCAAGCGTGTCGGTCTTAAAAGCTTCCGCGGCTGGATTCAAACCCTCCCCTCCGCAAGACACCCTGCACTGCTTAGGAGACACGCCCTCCAGTTCAGCTGAGCGCCCCAAGTGACGCGGCGCCACCCGCCTCGAGTCCCTTGGAGAAAGGCGGACAATCAACCCAGACCCTGCGGACTGGCCACACACACCCCCTCCAGCCCAGCACTCATTCCGGGACCCCGGGGCGGTGGGGGTGGAGAATCCTTCCAAGGAAAGGCGGAGAAGGGAGGAGAGGCTCCAGGGCGGGGGGTGGCAACGGGAGACCCGGTTCTCCTTCTTCCTCCGGGGTGGGGGGCCCCTCCCCCACAGGGACCGTTGGGCGGCCGGGGAGAGGCGCGGGGGTGGAGGGCTGGCGGCGCGACCCCGTCCTATGCCGCCCCCGCTACTCACCACCACGGCCGTGACCGGCTGCCCCGGAATGTACGACATGACGGCCCCGTCTGGGCTGGGCGAGGCTGGCGGCCGCCGCTCCTCTTTCTCCCCTCAGACAGAACAAAAGGCCCCACCCAGCCCCCCGGGCCACGCCCCCTCCTCCGCCCCGCCCC